TTGCTGTGGAGGAGGGAAACATAGGAGATATTTCATCAGACGTTGCTGTGGAGAGGGAAACATAGGAGATATTTCATCAGACGTTGCTGTGGAGAGGGAAACATAGGAGATATTTCATCAGACGTTGCTGTGGCGAGGGAAACATGGGAGATATTTCATCAGACGTTACTGTGGAGGAGGAAACATCGGAGATATTTCATCAGACGTCGCTGTGGCGGGGGAAACATAGGAGATATTTCATCAGATGCTGCTGTGGCGGGGGAAACATAGGAGATATTTCATCAGACGTTGCTGTGGAGAGGGAAACATAGGAGATATTTCATCAGACGTTACTGTGGAGAAGGAAACATAGGAGATATTTCATCAGACGTTGCTGTGGAGAGAAAACATAGGAGATATTTCATCAGACGTTGTTGTGGCGAGGGAAACATAGGATATATTTCATCAGATGCTGCTGTGGAGGGGGAAACATAGGAGATATTTCATCAGATGTTGCTGTGGAGGGGAAACATAGGAGATATTTCATCAGACGTTGCTGTGGAGGGGAAACATAGGAGATATTTCATCAGATGTTGCTGTGGCGAGGGAAACATAGGAGATATTTCATCAGACGTTGCTGTGGCGAGGGAAACATAGGAGATATTTCATCAGACGTTGCTGTGGAGGGGAAACATAGGAGATATTTCATCAGATGTTGCTGTGGAGAGGGAAACTGCTCTGTGAGGGGAAACATAGGAGTATTCATTCAGACGTTCGCTGTGGAGGGGGAAACATTAGGAGATATTCATCAGCATGCTGCTGTGGAGGGGGAAGCATAGGAGGATATTTCATCAGACGTGCGGTGGAGGGGAAAAACATAGGAGATATTTCATTCAGATGCTGTGGGAGGGGAGAAATGGAGATAATCTTCAGCAAACGTTGCTGTGAGGAGGGCACAAACATAGGAGATATTTCATCAGATGTTGCTGTGGAGAAGGGAAAACATAGGAGATATTTCATCAGATGTTGCTGTGGAGAAGGAAACATAGGAGATATTTCATCAGATGTTGCTGTGGAGGGGAAACATAGGAGATATTTCATCAGATGCTGCTGTGGAGGGGGAAACTGTGGGGGGCAATTCCAGGAAAAACAAAACAGTGAATCGCGTGACATCCGGTGAGTAGATTTATGTTAATGACTGCTACTGCGTAGGGCCATAATAAAAATATTGTTTGTTCGCCCTCACTCGACCGACCTGCCAAAAAGGGGCCAACTCAAAAAAAATTATTTATATTTTTTTAAACAAATTGTATCACTGTACGTTATATAAATCTGTAGGCAATACATTACATGTACCAAGCAAAACAAACATTCAACATAACAGGTACTTCCACACAAGCACACCCGAGCATGTAGACACCATGCTGAATTTGTAAAAAAAAAATTCCCCCCACCCTCAGAAAAAATGCCGACCTACCTATCCAAACTTTTCAGGGTCGAGTGAGGGCAAACAAATATTTTTTTAATTGTGGCCTAAGCACTACCAGCCAAGGCGTCTGCTAGAATCAAACTTTTTCGAGTCAATATTTTACTGCCATGTTTACGCTACAAGGCACAATCTTTCATACAGTATTTTAAGCTCATTAAAATGCTAATTAGTACAGCACTCCTAGTGAGCGTATTTAGTAATTGATGTAAGTGCACCTTTTCTTGTCACGCTCTTCGTTATGCTGCGGTTTGTTAAGCGCCAGCTGGTTGACGCTGTACTGATTCACATAGTTCTTGAAAGTTGTTCCTGTCGTCGTTTCCTGACCTATACATAACCAACAACAGGGCAAATAAAATATGAAGATATATGTTTACAAACGAGCAGAGAGCATGCGTCTTCTGTATCTTATCATACATCTTACCATGATCTTATCATATCACTTACTTTAAAACAACGACTTTTTTATGAATGATTTATAATTTCTGTTTAAAGTGAACAATATTACGTCACCGTTAATAGTAAAAAATTAAAATATAAAAAATATAAGTAATTCTGTTCACTTTTTATGGTTAAATTGCTGCATTAATACTTCTTATTTTAGTATATTGTTCGATGTGAACATACACTCGTGACGCATACGTAGCCCATAGCAAGCAATTAATGTCAGGAACACTAATATCAAATCGTCCAGGTTTTTTTGATTTTTAACTAGTTGAGAAACAATCTTATCAGGTAAGAATTTGACGATACGTTTAGTCCCGTTAGTTCTTACTTTTAATATTAAAATAATGGCAACAAAAATTTGACAAATTTTACCATAGAAAATTCGTGACGTAGTCAATTTAATCTCTTCTCCACCTCCATTTCACTCTTTACTATTCCAACCTCTATTTCCTTTATCAGTCTCTACACCAGTTTTTTTATACACCAACACAAATCCCTCATCCCTCCCCACTACTCACCTACGCCCCACAAACTCTATCCATCTCTATTCCATCACCTCCCACTCACCTCTACCTCACTCATCCAACCCATCCTGCTCACCCTTGCCCACCTGCTCCCCTTCCCTCTCACCCTTCCCCTCCACCTCCTCCAACCTCCCTCCCCTCCCGACCTTCTCCTTCCTCTCCCCAGCACTCACCGAGGCAGTAGTAGACGTTTGTCGTCGTCGTCGTCGACGTCGTCGCGGCAACGGTGGCGACGGCACGCGTGCGCGTCATGCGCGTCGCCTCGCCGTTCTTGTTCACCACGACGACCGTCTCCCTCGCATGGCTGCTGCTCGTCGTCACGGCGATGCTCCCTGTCGTCGCCACGGCAACGCCACGCTCCGCGTCCGGCGGGCGTGTCTTGGAGCGCAGCGAGATCGGAGTCTGCTGCGCACGCAGCATCGCTGCAACGCGGAAGACAAGAGTTAGACGTGCCAGTAGGGGGCGCTGCACAGAGTAGCGTCGACGTGACAAACATAAGTAAACATTTGAGCGTAAAATTTAACGTTGAACTCTTGTTAGCGTCGCTGTTTATTTCTTATGATAACTGTTATGTTTGATGCTCACGCATATGCAAAACCAACGCAGATATCTTTTTAGAATAATTCGTTTTAATTGATTCTACACCATGCTTGCATACCACGCGACACTTTATTAAAGAGAGTTATTCTAAAAAGATATCTGCGTTGGTTTTGCATATGCGTGAGCATCAAACATAACATGGTGTCAGAAGTGGGATTCGAACCCACGCCCTCATACGAGGACCAGATTTAACGGTTAATATTTATCCGTAAAACTCGTGTAAAATATATGTATCCGTTTACTTTTCGTGATAATAATACCGTACGATTTGCTTCGAGAAAATTTGTCCTGAATCACTTCGACAAAATGTGAGAAACGGTTCAAGCTTCACCTTGCTTTTAAGGTTTAATTGTTCCGGTTTTAAATATTTTTTAAATCTCTCACGTGCCACGAAAATCGTTCGCAGCTACAATTTTTAGACGCCACGCGAGAGTGGTGTTTCTGCGAAAATTTCATCGGATGCAAATCGCGTCGTTGCGTTTCCACGACGACGCCAGCGCCGCATTCCTCACCTCTCGACGCCGCTCCCACTTTGCACTTGCTGTCGTCCTCGCTTCCCTCGTCGCCTTCGTCCGCAGCGGTGGCGCCCTCCTCGGTCTTCGCCGGCGCCACCTGGGCCTTCTGCTGCAGCGTCTGCTGAAGCTGTTCGGCCTTGGCGACCGTGAAGGTCATCCGGGATCCATCCTTGCTGATGAGGATGACCTTCTTCCCGGCAAGCGACCCGTCCGTCCCGACCTTCGCCTGGACAACTCCCGGCAGCGCGCCACCGCCGCCGCCGGGATCAGCGCCCCCTATCGAGTCCGCGCTCTCCTCAGCCGACCGGTGGTTCGATAGGGGGCGCTGTTCGGGATCGGCGTTCCGGGGCGAGGCGGGTCGATTCAACTCCTGCGTGATGTTGAGGAAGAGATTTCGCCGCTTCTCCTCATCCTCCGCGCGGATGCTCTGCTGTTTGTCGCCACCGGGTGGCGTCGCGTCGCCAGGCGGCGTCGCATCGCCGTTGACCGTCACGACGGAGGTGTCGGTGACGACGACAGTCGACGTCGTCATCACCGTGGTGACGGTCGTCGCGGCGACGGTCGTCGTGGCGACGGTCGCCGAGTCGCCAGCCTCCGTCGCCACGACGACGGAGCTTGTGCTCGTGTGCATCGTCGTCTCGCGAGTCGTCTCGGTGCTGTTCCGCTGAAAGTGGAAAAAACATATGGCAGCTGTTACGGCAGTCCCTGATTTTATCGGTAAAGGTAGGAAACGATTAAAATGTCCCGATTAAATTGACTACGTCACGAATTTTCTATGGTGTATATTTTTTTATTTTTTGTTGCCATTTTTTTACATTAAAAGTAAGTACTAACGGGAGTAAATGTATCGTCAAATTCTTACCTGATCAGTTGTTTCTCAACTGGTTAAAAATCCAGAAAACCTGGACAATTTGATATTATGATCCTGACATTAATTGCTTGCTATGGGCTATGTATGAGTCACGAGTGTATGTTTACATCGAACAATATAGTAAAATAGGAAGTATAATACAGCAATTTAACCATAAAAAGTGAACAAAATTACTTACATTTTGTAAAAAAGTTTTTTTTGTACTTTTACTATTTACGGTGACGTAATCACTTTAAGCGGTGAACACGTTTATACAACGTGAAACATGACGGTTGACGGTGTCCAGGCACGATAAAATTTCAGTGTGTTACGATGTGTTCACATCTAATTTTCTATGCTATAACTGCGTAAAATCTTAGTGTTTTTTTAAGTTAGTGTAATCGGTGATATATCCGCTGTGAGGTGAGACTATATTTCGCGATATATTTTTTTCGGATTGAGCGTTTCTGAGCAAGAATCTCGCGAACATAGCTTTAAGATCAGACGGGATGAATTAAGCCCTGTCTACACTAGCAAACTTTAGTTTGCAAACTCGAGCAAACTCCGAGTTTGGCAAGAAAAGTTTTCCAAAGTTTGCCAGTGTAGACCAGTTGACAAACTTCTGCAAACTAGTTTGCAGAAGTTTGCAGAAGTTAGGCCGTGCACCTTCTTGACAAACTAGTTTGCTCGAGTTTGCTGAGGTTTGGAATAACTCAGCCATTCAAATGACAGTTTGTAGTCATGTGATTCTGCAGATGAACAAACATTGGACATTGAACATTGGAATTCACAGTCAGTACCAGTAGTGTAGTGTAGTCAGTACCATAGTGTAGACAGGCACAAACTTCTCCAAACTTTGGCAAACTCGGAGTTTGCTCGAGTTTGCAAACTAAAGTTTGCTAGTGTAGACAGGGCTTTACTCACCACCTCGATGGCAGCAGCATCAAGCTTCATCTCTGACACCTCGCTGACATTATTCGTCTCGTTCTCCTCCTGCGTGGCGTCGACCGGGCTTTCTTCTTCCTTTGATTCGAATTCCGGCGTCATTCGCACCTCCTCCTCCATGACTACTTCCTCCATCTCGTGGTCCTCCACTACATGCTCCTCCTCTACGTCATTATCGATGTCCATTTCCACCACCTCCTCCTCGCACACCTCCTCCAATGGCTCGGCATCCTCCTCCGCGATTTCTGTGGCTGGCTCTGTGTGTTCTGTCGCTTGCACCTCCTCTTCACTTCCTTCCTCCACTGTTGCGTCTTCCTCTTCTACGTGCGCAGTTGCCTCCTCCATCTGTTCCTCGCACACCTCAGTTAATGTCTCTGTTGCTTCCACCACCTCCTCCTCGCAGACAACCTCCTCCTCGCAGACAACCTCCTCCTCGCAGACCACCTCCAGTGTCTCCACCGCTTCCACCTCCTCCACCGGCTCTGTTTCTTCCTCCTCCGCTTCCCCGTCCTCCTTCAACCGCTGAGCCACCTCCTCCATGTCCTTCCCCCAGCTCTCCTCCTCCTGGACCGTCCTCATCGCCTCCAGCTCCTTCTCCTTCTTCCGCGCCTCCTCCTCTTCTTCTTTCCGTCGCTTGGCTTCATCTTCAAGACGCTGCTTCTCCAGTTCTTCTCTCTCTTTCGCTCGCTTCAGCTCTCTCTCTGTCTGAACCTTCTCCAGACGTGCTAACAAATAAAAGTAAACAAGAATAAATTAGGCCAAAACAAAATATAGTTGTGGTTACGGTTTCCCGACCGACCCTATTTATTCCCAGCGACCCTAAACATTTTATTGTCAATTTTCTTTAAAGTCAAAAAAAAAATATTTAAAAAAAAATTTCAAATTAACAAAAATATGAATTGGACAGTTCCTGATTCAAAAGGCACAACGCACATCCTTCGGACATGGTTCGTAAATAAAATATTTTAAGAAAATAAAATGTTTTCCCTACCTACCCTATTTTTTTTCGGCATGTAACGGTAACTACACATATATTTTGTTTTGGCCCTATCACTTGAATGACTGACGTGTGTTTTCTCTATCATCTGGCCGTTATGCGACTAAAATGAACGTGGCCCTCAAAACTGCAATCCCCACTACCCTTATTATTACACTAACCCACTTCAACAATGTTAATTTAATAGTGACCCAACCCTTAGGCGTAGACATGGTAGGTTAGCTCTCGATTTTTCATTGTATAAACACAAGTACACTATGTGAGAAAAAAGTCTACGCGAAAAGAATCAACACTCGACATTTATCGGCAACCGATCAATCAGGATATGTACAACGATAAAATAAAATGAACAAGATACCCTTCTCACGCAAACAACAATACCTAACCGTACCCGTATCTAACTATAATAATAAACATAAAAGTTCTCATCATATCAGCACGAGTATATCAACTTGTAAATAAGTATAATATAATAACTAACTATAATAGAGTAATAAACTCCAACACTAACCTAATAACGTAAACAAACTGCACACTACACGACAGACAACCGCGCGTTTCGACTATAATATAATAAGTTTAATAACTAACTATAATAACGTAATAAACTCCAACACTAACCTAATAACATAAACAAACTGCACACTACACGACAGACAACCGCGCGTTTCGACTATAATATAATAAGTTTAATAACTAACTATAATAACGTAATAAACTCCAACACTAACCTAATAACATAAACAAACTGCACACTACACGACAGACAACCGCGCGTTTCGACTATAATATAATAAGTTTAATAACTAACTATAATAACGTAATAAACTCCAACACTAACCTAATAACATAAACAAACTGCACACTACACGACAGACAACCGCGCGTTTCGACTATAATATAATAAGTTTAATAACTAACTATAATAACGTAATAAACTCCAACACTAACCTAATAACATAAACAAACTGCACACTACACGACAGACAACCGCGCGTTTCGACTATAATATAATAAGTTTAATAACTAACTATAATAACGTAATAAACTCCAACACTAACCTAATAACATAAACAAACTGCACACTACACGACAG